GAGACTCAAGAGTATGGCAGCGAGTGGCGAAGGAGAGTGGTATATACAGCAGGTTCCCGTGGTGAGCCCTACTAGGACGAGGGCTTCAACTAACGTATTTACAAGTGCTTTACGATACCGATCCTGTGTGACGTGTGTGTGTGTGTGTGTATGTGTGAGCATGCGTGTGCATGTTTGTTCATATACATTGTATTTTATATACATATATATATATATATTCGTTTTCGTTATAATAACATTTAATAATTTTAATTGTATTCATTGAAAAATTAAAAATGAAAATATAAATATATCGATAAAAAGCTTAAGAAATATATTTTAATTTATCTTATCTTGTTAATTATCATCGTATAATAAGGTATTAATTATTGTGCTTTTTATTTCTTTTCTCTTTTTGATATAATTCATGAAGAATAATTTTGATGGATATTAATTTGTCAAGAGAAAGAGAGAGAGAGAGAGAGAGAGAGAGAGAGAGAAAGAAAGAACAATAAGAAAAGGAAAAAGAAAAGGTTGAAATGTAAATAACAACGTTATCTCGATAAAAGTTAAGCACGAACGTCTTCGCGTTCGATTCATTAAGTTAGACATTTATATAATAAATCGTCTAATAAGCCGCTTATGGAAAGTCACTGATTCATTGATCACGAACCGGATCAATTATGTATTGGAATCCAAGGGAAAGTTCCTTACTAGGTATGGAATTTCAACGTGTACGAACCATAAAGGCCGACAATTACGTCGGACTCGTTTACTTCGTCTAATACGACGTGCGGAGTAGAGTCTTCTTTCGCAATCGCTAACTCGCGTGGCCATGTTCAGCGTCAAAAATGCAGCCGCCTCGTTTATTCCCTTTCTGTTACTAAATCGACGTAAAAAGTATTTAGCGAGGGACCGTGCGAAAATTTTCTTCAACTTTAGCAACAAGGAAATTGCAATCGTTAAACGTCCTAATCGATTGACTTCTTAATGACGACTTGCTTATAACAGTTTCCTCACCGAATTTTTTTGTCGCATTTCTTTTTTATGCAAAAAAAAATTTCTTCCCTTCTCATCTCTTTCTTTCCCTCTCTTTTCTCTCTCTCTCTCTCTCTCTCTATATATATATATATTTCTTTTTTTTTTTTTTATTTTTTTTTTATTTCCTATCTCCCTTCTCCGTCAATTTGGATTTCTTTCATAACGATGAATCAGATCATCATTTATAATGTTTAAAAAATATTTCTATATCATCATCAATATTATTTCGTCATGTAAACATATTCTTTTATCGTTGCTCATACTTTTCATCCATCTTGTATGAAAAATTGTATCGTTCGAGGGAAAAAAACTGTCAATCTGGGTTTTACATAATAAGAGTGAAAAACGATAGAAAGATAGGAAGATAGATAGAAAGAAAGAAAGAAAGAAAGAAAGAAAGAAAGAAAGAAAGAAAGAAAGAAAGAAAGAAAGAAAGAAAGACAGGAAAGAATGAAAGAAACAAGTAAACAAACAAACAAACAAACAAACAAACAAACAAACAAATAAAGAAAAAAATGAAAGGAAAGAGAAAGAAAGAAAGCGAGCAAGAGAGCAAGTAGGAAATGAAGACATAGACAAGTTTTGAAAATAGAGTAAAAGAGAGACAAAGAGCGATGGGAAAAGCAGGAAGTGAAATCGGGCTCATTGACGATATTGAGAGAGGGTGAGATATATATATATATATATATATATGTAGAATAGAAAGAGAGAGAGAGAGAGAGAAGCTAAAACTCGGCGTGGCTGAAGAGACGCGCGCGCGCGCGCGCACACCCCAAAGTGGAAAGCGGATTGGATCGGCTGGGTGATGGAGAGCGCAGACGGCAGAGTATACGAGAGAGAAAAAGAGAAAGAAAGAAAGAAAGAGAGAGAGAGAGAGAGAGAGAAAGCGACGAAAGGTGAAAGAGGAAGGAAAAAGAAAGAGAAGGACGGTGAGAGAATGGGGAAGAAAAGGGGAAGAGGAGCGAGAGAAGAGAGAAATTAAGCGGATCAATGGCGGAGCCCCGGCGAAACGAAACTTCAGCATCGACAGCCTCTCTTTCTCTATCTTTCTCTCTCTCTCTCTTCAATTTTCCCTCTTCCTTCTTCCTCCTCTTCTTCCTCCGGTCGGAGTTTGCGCCTTTCTCCTACGAGAACCCTTTCATTTTCCCAATCTCTCTCTCTCTCTCTCTCTCTCTCTCTCTCTCTCTTTATCTATCTATCTCTCTCTTTTTCTCTTTCATTCTTTTTTTTCTCTTTTTCTCAAATATCGCAACGGAGAAGAGATGCGAAATAAACACGCAATGGAGATCGAAAAGTAGAGCTAATTAGAAATATATTCGCGGGAAGTGAGAGAGGAAAGTTGGCAGGGGTGCCGACGTCGTCACCATGTTGTCGTTGTGTGGTGGTGTATGACGATGAGGAAGAAAGAGAAAAAGAGAAAAGGAGAAAAGGAGAAAAAGAGAGACAGAGAGAGAAAGACAGAGAGAGAGAGAGAGAGAGA